CTGAGGTAGAATTTTTCCTGGACGAGTTTAAGAGTCTCTAATAAAAGAGACTTTAACTTTTTGGACGGGCTTAAAAAGGGTTTTTTTTTTAGAAAATGTCAGTTTTTCTAACAAAACAGTAGGGGGTCTGAATAGGTCTAATAAAAGGAGTGTCTGTAGACGATGTGAAAGGAGGTTTTTGCAAGCTCTCACAAATGAGCCTAAGGGAGCATATCATACAGAAGAGCTGAAAGGAGAAGAAGATGAAAGGAGTTTCTCCCAGAAGGTTTGAGAGTCTCTCATAAAGAAGATGATGGCGGTCGGTCACAGACGAGCTTAAGAAAGTATCCCATAGGCGATTTGATGCGAGTCTTTCAAAGACGTGTTCAAGGAAATTTCTTTCAGATGATATAAAGAGAGCCTTTCAATCCTAAACCAGACTGAGAAAGAATATCATATGGACGGGGTGATTTTAAAATTCAGATTCTGATATAAATATTTTTCGAAGGCGTGCTTCGATTACACTTACAACGTGTATCGGCGTATTTGAAGCTTACATCCGAGAGTAAGCCAAATATGTAGAGGGGGCAAATTTCCTCTTCTTCCAAATTTTTGTTCGGATTAACCTTCACTGGAATTCATAGATTTTAGGTATACAGTGTCTTTGGCAATATTGGAAAAGGGTACGAAAAGTACTAAAATGTACTCAAAATTTAATACTTTGTATGGGAAACGGAATGAGCTATAATTCTGAAATTTGAAACGAGAGTCACTTATGGTGTGCAGGAGAGATGTACCAAAGGCTATAAGGAAATTCTAATTTTAAGGTTACGAAAAGTTCAAAAATGGTACTAAACTTCTAAAATGGTACCATTTTGTATTAAGTGAACGGATAGAGCTAAAAAATTAAAATTTGGTACAAGAATCAATGTTGGATAGTAATTTTGATATGTGAATGTGGTTTTGGAAATTTGTGCCAAGTGTGCGAACCGTACTAAATGGTACCACATTTGAATAATGTTGGTTAGGATGAACAGATGAAGCTGGAATTTGGAAAGTTTGTATTAGAGTCCCTTTTAGTAGAAAGTTTTTGATACAGAGGTGGTTTTCGAAATGTGTTCTAGAAGTGCACAAGAAGTATTAAATAGTACTAGAATGGGTACAATTTGGTATTTGCTTGCTTGATTCTGAGTGTAGTACTGAGTGGTACTTTATTTGGTATTGTGTGAAGAGATAGAGATACAATTCTGAAATTTAATATTTTAATTACTGATGGCATTTGTGTTTGAGATTTGGCGGTGGTACGTCTTATGTGTACTATAATTGTTTGAAAAGTACTGAAATGTACCATATTTGGTATTGGGTGAATGATAGAGACAAAATTATGGAATTTGATATTTACATCAATGATGGGTCGAAATTCGACGGTAGTTTTAAAAATGTGTACTATAATTGTACGAAAAGTACTAAGTAGTACAATAATGGGTACAATTTGGTGCTGGGTGAACAGATAGTGCTTGAAAGCTGAAATTTGGTATTAGGATCGCTGTAGCCTAGACATATGTAGATGGTTTCGGACATTTGTACTATAATTGTACGAAAAGTAATGAATGGTACTATATTTGGTATTGCGTAAAGGGCTACAGATAAAATTCTGAAATTTGATTTTTAGATTACTGATGGTATCTATCTTTGAGATATAACACATGGTTTTGGAATGTGTTATATAATTGTAGGAAAAATACTAAATTGTACTATAATGGGTACAATTTGGTATTCGGTGAACAGATAATGATTGAAATCTGAAAATTGGTATGTGGGTTGCTGTTTATTTTGCAAAAATTTGTACTATAATTGTACGAAAAGTACTAAATGCTACTATATTTAGTATTGGGTGAGTAATTTTGATCCGTTGTGGGAGTGGTACAGGAAAGAGTGGTTCGACATATTTCACCTTCACACCTGGTTTTGTGTTGTTGGAAATAATGGGATATGTGAAATTTGGGGAGAATCTGATGTGGGGAAGGTAGCCGCAAATTTGAATATGAAACCATTGTGCAAGGGTAAAACTAATATTATCTTCAATCGTAGTTACAGTTACATAATTTTGAAAATTTCCTCTTCAGGTTTGAGGTTATGTTATCTACTACCCTTTACAAAATCTAAAAATTGTGTTAAACTATTTTATTGGAATTAAAAAAGAATATCTCTACTTTTCCCCATGCTCCAATCCTACTTTTTCGTCCATTGTAAATAAATTAATGTAAAATATTTATAAAATGCATATAAATAATTCCATATAAAAACAACAACAACACACAGAGTCTAGCAGCAGCAACTGCAATATGAAAAAGAAATGAAATTAATTTAAAGCAATTGCTTTGTTTGAGGACAATTTAATCAATTCATTGTCCGGCAATAAAAAAAATGCAACAACTACAAATGAGATGGGAGGAGGGAAAATTGAATGACAATAACTAAAGAACACAACAGTGTAGAACTCAACCCTTTTTCCACATCCATGGAGACTTACTCCCTACCATAAATTCTCTGTCTCTCCCCACCCTTCCCCCCTTTCAGCATTTTTTCTGTTGATTTGTATCTCTCTCGCTTTTATTAATTTTGTTTTTACATTTATCTTAATAATGATTGTAACGAAACTTTACAGTGGCAATCATAACTTTGTTATTATTACGGCAGTCATGGGTAGCAATGTTTGTTTTCATTTTTTTGTCACAACTCAATGTAAACCAGTAAGGAAAGCTCAAAAGTCGGGCGGGGCCGACTATATGATACCCTACACCACTATGCATATTTAGTAGAGCTCTCGTAAAAAGGTTTATACAGGGCATTTCAGAGCTCTATGAGATATTTGGTACAAAATCAAAATCTATCTAATTCTATCGTGCATTTTACGAACTATAGCTATCTCTGAACCGGGTTTCTCCAAATTTTACGTATTAGCTTCTAGACTGGTGATTTGGGCTGATATTGACCATTTAGTGCACATTTAACCCGAAATCGGATGAAGATATATATGAGAGCTATATCCAAATCTGAACCGATTTCGATAAAATTTAAAACAGCTATTCCTGTGCTCCATCTAATACCTGGTACCAAATATCACGGTTGTGGAGTGAATATTACGAATGTATGGGACTAAAACTCTAAATCGGATGAAACATATATATGGTTGCTATATCTATATCTGAACCGATTTTCACCAAATTTGATATACTTGCTTCTAGGCTGAATTTGGTCCGATGTACTAAAATTCAGTCCATTTGGACTTATATCGGCCATTTGGTGCACAATTAACCCGAAATCGGATGAAGATATATATGGGAGCTATATCCAAATCTGTGAGAGGCTTAAACACCAAATCGGATGAAAGATATATATGGGAGCTATAGCTATATCTGAACCGATTTTCTCCAAATTTGATATAATTGCTTCTAGGCCGAACTCGGTTGGGTGTGCCAAAATTCAGGTAATTTGGACTGATAGTGGACATTTGGTGCACATTTAACCCGAAATCGGATGAAGATATATATGGGAGCTATAGCTGTTTCTGAACTGATTTTCTCCAAATTTGTTGTATTTGCTTTAAGGCTAATCTCGGTCACATGTGCCAAAATTCGGGCCATTTGGGCTGATATTGGCCATTTGGTGGTCAATTAACCCGAAATCGGATGAAAATATATATGGAAGCTATATCCAAATCTGAACCGATTTCGATAAAATTTAAAACAGCTATTTCTGTGCTCCTTCTAATACCTGGTACCAAATATCACGGTTGTGGAGTGCATAGTAGGAATGTGAGGGACTTAAAGATCAAATCGGATGAAAGATATATATGGGAGCTATAGCTATATCTGAACCGATTTTCTCCAAATTTGATATACTTGCTTCTAGACCGAACTCGGTTGGGTGTGCCAAAATTCAGGTAATTTGGACTGATAGTGGACATTTGGTGCACATTTAACCCGAAATCGGATGAAGATATAAATGGGAGCTATATCTAAATTTGATCCGATTCTCACCAATTTCAATAGCGTTCGTCTTTGGGCCAAAAAAATATTGTTTGGAAAATTTCATCTCAATCGGATAATAAATGCGACCTGCATTTTGTTCACAAGAATACATGGACAGACGGACGGACGGACGGACAGACGGACTGACATGCATAAATCGACTCAGAAAGTGATTCTATGAAGGTTCTCAAAAGTAACTATGGGTCTATCTCGTTTCCTTCTCCATGTAACAAACAAATGCACAAAGACATAATACCCTTACCACTATGTGGTGTAGGGTATAAAAAGGCCGGAGAGACGAGAGAGAAAATGAAATAACAAAGGAGACGAGACCATAATTGATTCTAATTGAATCGAATTAAAGGTGCAATTGACAATATTAACTCACTGACGATGATGATAATAACGAATGAATGGAAAAAGGCAACAACAACAACGACCATATCGGCAGTATCGAGAAAAATGAGTGTATGCCATAAATTTTGCCGCTTTTCATTTTCTTTAAGAACAAAAAAAATTCAAATGCATTCGTCCGCACTTGGAACTCTGTGTGTGGTTTGGGTACAGCCATCACCCGTATCTACTGGCGTCTTCCATGCCCTCTTTTTCTTCTCCCCCTTACTTTTCAATCTTTCCTTTATGAGTTTGCTGCATATCGGCATCTAGCCGCCTTTTTATTGATGTAATTTTGTTTTTCCACTCTCTTTTTTATTTTATTTTTTCTAAATTACTTTAATATTTTGCCGCATGCAGGCAGGCAGTCAGCCATGCGAACGACGACAGCCAGCCAGCCAAGTCGCTTTTTGTAATTGAATATCAATTGAATTGCATACAAATTATTATTGATTCAAATGGTAACATTAGAAAGCGTGATTGGAGGCAGCTTGTTTAAGTTATGCATCCATAGACATACAAACACACACACACATACCATATCAATGTAATAATTTATTTAAAAATGAAAATATTTTTATTCTCTTTTTTCAGTTGGGTCCTGCTGCCGCGGGAAGAGGCATGTTTTGCTATCAATGTCCGCCTGCTTTACATCCATGTGGTCCACATCCACCACGTTTACCAACACTGGAATATCCTTTTGCCGCAACACATCCATGTAAGTATCAAAGACTAAATAGTAATTTTTTCCTTATAAAAATCATCTTTTAAAAAAAATCAGAAATAAAAATCAGTTCCTCAGCCCCTAAGGTTGAGTTTTTAGGACTGGGGCTGATCTTTTTTCTCAAGATGTTGGGACTGATTTTGTTTCTATAGAAAAAAATCTTCAAGATCTGTAGAAAAAAATCCTCAAGAACTGGGGACTGATTTTTTTTCCATAGAAAAAAATCCTCAAAAACTGAGGACAGATTTTTTCTATTGGAAAAACTCCTCAAGGACTCAGGGTGAGTTTTTTATAGGAAAAAATCTTCGAGGACTGTGTTCGGACTTTTTTTCTATGGAAAAAAAGTGACATCAGCAACTGAGGTCGGATTTTTTCCTATAGAAAAAAAATGACCTCAATAAATGAGCTCGGATTTTTCGCATAGAAAAAATGACCTCAAGAATGAGGCCTAATTTGTTTCATAGAAGAAAATTCCTCAAGAACTGAGGCCTGATTTTTTGCTATAGAAAAAATTCCTCAAGAATTGAGGCCTGATTTTCTACAAAAATTATATATTCCCTCTTTAGCCATATGGCTGAGGATATAAAAAATCCTCAAGAATTGTGGCCCAATTTTTTTCTATAGAAAAATTTTTCCCAAGAACAAATGTCGGATTTTTTTCTATATCAAAAAATGACCACAAGAATTGAGGTCGGATTTTTTTCTATAGCAAAAATGACCTCAAGAACTGAGGTGTGATTTTTTTTCTATAGCAAAAAATGACCCCAAGAGCTGAGGTCAAATCCTCAAGGATTGAGGTCGATTTTTTTTCTAGAGAAAAAAATACCTATTGAACTGAGGTCTGATTTTTCGATAGAAAACAAACCTAGAGAATTGATCTCTATTTTGTTTTTCACTTACAAAAAATACCCACAGAACTCAGGTCATTTTTTTCTTATAGAAATAAATTCCTCAAGAACTGGAGCCAGTTTCTTCTCCCACACCCATGTAGCTAGAGGATATTTATCATTTGATACAGCCAAAACTTACCTCATACAAATATGAGTTTTTGACCCTAGGTCTCTTTGGGCCATGTACGTTTCAGGACATTTGGAGTCGATCTAGCTGGGCGCATGATAACTCTCGAAGAGATTATTCATTTTGGTCCAAACACGCTACATCGAAATTATATTATTAAACTTCGTTCGAGGTCGAAGATGGGCAATATCTTGTGACACCTCCCTTCAAAAAAGGCCAAAATATTCAAAGGAAATAATCTACCTTATAGAACAAGAAAAGATCATCCAATGTTGTTCAAACTTTGCAAATCCGAATATTTTACAGTGCAGTGCAAAAATTGACAATATAATATATAAAATTTATGGTCAAAATTTAGAATAATCACAAAGATCATAAAGTATAGTCCGATAATCTTTATATTTTGCATATCCTAATATTTTTACCAACTCTAGACTTTTTTTTATGGAGATAGGATAAATCGGCCCAATCTTTTTGGTACTTCCCCCACAGCTGGTCAAAATTTTGAATAATCATGACGCCCATAATATGCTAATTAAGCATCCGATTCCTTTCAAACTCGGCACATTCCAATATTTCTATTAGCACAAGATCTGGTGTGAAGATTGTCGGTCCACTCCTTCCGCTACCTCCCCCACATAGCCAAAACTGTGGATAACTAAAACGCCCATAAAATGCAAAATAAGGTTCCGATTCTTTCTAAGCTTTACAAATTCCAATATTTCAATTAGCACAAGATCTGGTGTGAAGATGGAATATAACGGACCACTCCTTCTGATACCTCCCCCACAACGGGGAATAATAATAAGTTTCATTCACATAAAATGCAAAATAAGCATCCGATTCTCTTCAAATTTCACAAATTCCAATATTACCATTTCCATTACAAGATGTGGTGTGAAGTTGGGATTGTAGTCTCTTCCTGCTTGTACTTTTCCCACAAAGGTTTTAAGATTTTGAATAAGTAAAAGTCCATAAAAAGCGAAATAACACTGTTCAAATTTCAATAATTGGTATAAAATTTTTTTTTGGATGCCGAACATTTTTTAATGTTTCCGAGAATCCGTTCACTAGCAGTTGTTAATATTTTTCCAGAAGAAAAATCTCAGTTATTGAATTACTGAGAAAAAAATATTTTTATTGGAAAAAATTCTCCACTTTCTGAGGATAAATTAGCATTAGGAAGGCAAAACATGTTCCTCCCCCCAAAATTCGGATATGAACACACAAAAAAAGGATGTCAACAGCAAAAAGAGCAACAATCTTGGGTGTAAATCAAAGATAAAAAGCCTTAGATAAGTTGTATTCAATTGTTGTTAACAGATGCACATCCTTTTTCAGGATTCCGAACCAACACATTACAGACACACATACATGCTACCAGTACATAGAGAGAGATATCTATCTCTTGCTTTTGCCAAATGTATGAATTTTTCGAAAGCAAACAAAAATATCCGATTACCATTTTAAGATAAATTACAGTCGACTACCTCGCCTCTCTCTCTCCCACTTGGGGGAGGGAGTTGAGGGCACATAATTTTCTACTGGCTTTTGCTGAGTTGAAGTTGAATTCCTAAGGGATTCCTTTTATGAGGGGTTAATTGATTAAGGGTTGTTGCTCTGCTGGTAGTTTTTTTGTCATGGTATTGAGTTTCAAAATTTGTGGAGAAGTTTGTTCTTTTGGTATTAGCAAAAGCAGGTCTGATAGTTATCGTATCGTGTTTATATGTAACATATTTTGATTTGATTTTGAGAAATATTAAATCATAAAGATTTACATTTTCTGATAACTGAAAGAGTGATGCTAATTAATTTCGAAATAAAAGAGATAGAAGAAAGGGTCAGTGAATTGGGAACTTGTTCATCATTATCATCGCAGAGGGTATAAATATTAGAGTTATTGCAGAGGTACTAACTCTAACCCATGTTTTAAGTATTATTAGAAAAATATGTTATATTCATGGCCTATTTTGAAAAAAGTCATCGAAACGACACGACAAACGGTGAGTTGAAAAATTGGAACCAATTTGAGACCGCTGCCATTTCTAAGCCACTCGTTCGACAGCTATTAAAATTATTCCAGTGACAGCTCATTATATTGTTTACAAGCGTACAAAAGCATTTTGCTGAGAATTTTCCAGAAAAAATGTTATTCGTGATGGAATCCAAGCGTGATAGTGTGATTTCTTTATATTTGGCTAGAAAACCACAAGTGGCTATCGTTGGAGCACTCCAGCATTTAAATGTGAATAAATCTCTTGTACCATCGCTTGTTACCGTGATACTGGTAGCCCGACGCCAAGGAAGTGGGCGGAAGTAAACAGCAACATCAGCAGAAATGGTTCGAAAGGTAAAGAGCGACTTGATCGAAACCCACGTCGCATTGGTCGAAAAATGCCTCGTGAGCTGAACAAATCACAATATTCCATTCGGCAAATATTGAAAAAAAAGCTCGGGGCAGAGCCGTTTAAATTCCAAAAAGTGCAAGAACTTACACCGCAACAGAAAGAAAATAGACTCAAAAGAGCTAAAGAGTTCGCTTGGCCGAAAGTGGTGAACTGCCGAATTTGGTTTTCTCCGTCTCCGATGAGAAATCATTCGTTGTCCAGCATTTTTGAAACAATCAAAATGATCGTGTTTACTTGCCAAAGAGATCAGCTGAAAATGTGCACCTTCGGTTGGCCACCAGAACTCAAGCGCCATGGTGATAGTGTGGGCCGCCATAACAGCTCTCCGCTCATATTAATCGACCGTGGCATCAGAATAAATGCCAAATATTATCGCGTAAATATTCGGGAGGGTGTATTAAAGCCTTGGGTACGCAAACATTTTGGCCGCAGACATAGGATATTCCTCGCATCAATGGCCACCAAAATCTCCGGATACCAATCTGTTGGACTATTGTGTCTGGAGTATTTTGGAAAGCAAGGTTCGCACTAAAAAATACCAAAGTGTCGCTTCGCCGGGATTGGGCCAAAATACGGCAGAGCAACATTCGGGCAGCGTGTGACAGTTTCATTGGCCGTTTGAAGGCCATTATTCGTGCAGAAGATGGCCAATTCGAACAAATCTAAACTTATTTTAAAATTTGATGCTATTTCCGACATTTTTTGCTTTCATTCAATAAAACTTACAAAAAAAAAAAAAAAAAAAAAATTAAAAATTATGGCTTCTGACTTTGTTGCAGTTTTTTTTTTATCTCGCCCTGAACTCTTCTTGGCCTAACATCATCCGTTTCCTTAATTTGTCCAAAATTGTATTTTTCTACCTATCATTGAGTTAACGTTTTCTATTATTTTTAATTGTCTCTAAAATTTTGAAAAATGGTCTAAAATTCCCCCTTGGATACTTTAGAGTTGTAGATTTTATGCAAATCCAACATCATTGCCGGTAACTAAAACTGAAAAATGCCATTTGAGAAACGTTCTCAATCCTCACGCTCCTATTTCAATTCAATTATCATATCACCAATAATTCAAATGTAATTTTCCAAGGAACATTCATGCTCCAATCAACATACCTCCACAGTCCACAGTGGATGGTCCAACTACACAGAGCACAGAATCGTTAACGAAAAAAATATGGAACATTTCTAAAAAAATTCAATTTTCAAACTAAAAACAAAAATTGGTTGTGGCCGTAATGAAATTGTCATTTCAATTTACTAAATCCCAGACCAAAGAGTGGTGCTCCATCAAAAAACGAAAACGAAAAACAAACCAAAGCATTGATGACGGAATGAATAAAAAAATCTCGAAATACAAAAAAAAAAAAAAAATTAAAGCCAACATCTAGAACAACAGCCAAAGTGAGGCAAAAACTCCACGAATACGAGAAGAATGTAATTTGCCAACAATTTGATTGAACGGGATTCGATTTGATTCGATTTAAAATAACCATGGCTCTTATTTGCCTGGGCATGGCAGGCGAACAAATGCCAGAATGTCACCAGCCAACATATGAACGACAGACATCGCCATCATCGATGACATCAAACGTCATCGACGACACTATCTGTCATCACTGCTCTGGATCTACCCATCATCTATCAATCCTGCTGCCGCTGCTGCCGCTGCTGCTGCGCCAGTAATAATACCTGAGTCCGCATAAAAAATGCAGGAGTGCCACCTTTTTTGTGAGATTTTTATATTGACGGTGTATGGTATTCTTTTTAAACAATTATATAGAGAGCAGATATGTAAAGTACTGCAACATATTTGAAGTTTTTTGCTAACGAGGTGGGCATGAACATTGGGTTGAATTTTTTTTTTTTTCAGAAAAGTCTGACACTATTTACTACAGTAATGGAAAAATATTCACAACGATTTTTGGAATTCCTAAAAGCTCGATATGTCAAATTAGAGGCAGTTCAGTTTTTGTTTTTTTGAAGAGAGTATTTCAGCCCTCAGTTAAGCCAAAATATCAAACTGCTGCTAATTTTTAGGAAAAGCGGCCCAAAAATTCACAAACGTCTGGCATTATTATATTTGACTCAAATCGCACAGATCGTTTACTCATGGTAAAAATGTCGTAAAGATTCGACATCCTTGGTTTGAAGTGTAGCTTTTCTAAATACATACCCTTGGGAGAGGAGAGTATAATTGTTTAAATTTCCGTTTTTGCAAAATAGTCAGGCTTAGGTTGTTTTTATAAAAAATCAAAAAACCTCCACCCACTCTTCGTAATTGCACATTGTCTCCGTATTCTAACTTAATTGACGACTTTCAAAAACAAATAAATCATATTCTAAAACAAGAAAAAAAGCTGTAAGTTCGGCCGGGTCAAGCTTTGAATACCGTCCACCAATTGGAACGAATTTGGCAATTTCCTAAAAAATAAAATCCTTTAAAATTCAGTTAAAATCTTAAAAATACCGAATGAAGACGTTATATTAGGGTTTTTACGACGACGTGGACCTGCATAGGCAACTTCTGTCATAAGCCATTACAATATTCAAACACGAAACTTGAAAAAAAAAATTGATTAATAATGTAGCTAAAATCGTCAACATACGTCATAATACGAATATAGGGTATCATTATACGGGGGCTATACCAAAACGTAGACCTGCACAGACAATTTTCTGTCATAGGCTGTCATATTCATTACGATTTTCAAATACCAAATTTGAAGCAATCCCGTTGTATAATGCCGCTAAAATCATCAAAATACCGAATATCGGGAGGTACAATTACATGGGCGCTATACCAAAACCTACATGGCCCATTTTCAATACCAAAAGTCCTGCAGACATAATATACATTTGAGTAAAATTTTATCCACCTACTTCATTTCGTTCGGAAGCTAGAGTGATTTCTATAGACGAACGGACATCGCTAAATCGACATAGAATTTGATGATTTGATACAGGGTGAGATAAAAAAAAAAACAACAAAGCCAAAAGCCATAATTTTTACACTTTTTTTAAATTTTATTGAAGGAAAGAAAAAAAATGTCAGAAATAGCATTAAATTTTAGAATAAGTTTATATTTGTTCGAATTTGTCACCTTTGGCACGAATTATGACCTTCAAACAGCCAAACCATCACTGCCCGAATGTTGCTCTGCGGTATTTTGGCCCATTCCCGGTGAAGCGCTGGCTTGAGGTGATCGACACCTTGATATTTTGCAGTGCCAACCTTGCTTTCCAAAATACTCCAAACATAATAGTCCAAAGGATTGTAATCCGGAGATTTTGGTGGCCATTGTGTGCTGTAAATGAAGCGAGGAACCTCATTTTGTAACCATTCTTGGGTGGCGCGTACTGAGTGCGATGGTGCTGAGTGCTGTTGCGGCCAAAATAATTGCGTGCTCAAGGCTTCAATACACCCTCCAGAATATTATCGCGATAACATTTGGTATTTATTCTGATGCCACGGTCGATTAACACGAGCGGAGAGCGACCATCGGCCCACATCATCACCATGGCCGGCGCTTGAGTTACGGTGGCCAACCGAAAGTGCACATTTTCAGCTGACCTCTTTGTTTACCGGATGGAATATTGCGATATGTTCAGCTCGCGAGCCATTTTTCGGCCACTGCGACGCGGGTTTCGATCAGGTCGCTCCTTTACTTCTCGAACCATTTCTGCAGATTTTGCTGTTTTCTTCCGTCCACTTCCTTGACGCCGGGCTACGTTACCAGTATCACAGTAACGAGCGATTGTACCAGACACAAACGATTTATTCACATTTAAATGCAGGACTGCTCTGACGATAGCCACTTTTGGTTTTCTAGCCAAATATAAAGAAATCAAACTATAACGCTTGAATTCCATCACGAATAATTTTTTTTCTGGAAAATTCTCACCAAAATGCTTTTGTACGCTTTTGAACAATATAATGAGCTGTCACTGAAAACATTTAACAGCTGGAAGTGACATTTTAGACAGCGTAAACCTACTATAAAGAATGAATTTTAATCTATATAATTTGACTCTATTTTCCGATCCCTTATCCGATGAAATTTTAGAAAGGTATTTTATATTCCAAAATTGTATATAATTATGTAACACATTCAAATTAATATCATTTCCAAAAATGTTCGCACAAAACTTAAAATAAAAACCGCCATTAGTTTTTCGAATTTTGATAAATTACCACCTAAGCTGTGATTGCCAAATTGTTACTTCACAGTTTGAAGTTGGTTGTAGTTTTTTCATCTCACCCTGTAGCATGTTGTAAAGAATCGCTGACTTGTTTCGCAAGTTATGACAGATAAAAATATTGAAAATTGTGACCCATCGTATAAGGTAGCAGCTGGGGTTCGCAGATAGATCATCTTCACAACAGATCTTGTGTTAGGAAAAATGATTGTATGTGTGAAATTTGAAGAGAGTTGGATGCTTATTTTGGATTTTATGATCGCTTTGGTTAATGGCACCTCCAATACAAAGGGTCCGATCTCTACCATATTTATAAAAGATCTTGTGTTGATAGAAATCTTAAGATATACCAAATCTGAATGCAATCGGATGTTAATTTCGCGTTTTATGAGCTTCATGAATATTCAAAAATGTGACCCTTTGTGGAGAAGGTACCGGAAGGAGTGGACCGATTTATTCCATCTTCATACCAGACTTTGGGTTAATAAAAATATTGTGGTGTGTGTAATTTGAAGACAATCGGACACTTACATCAAATTTTTTAAGAGTTATAATTACTCAAAATGTTGACCCCTTGTGGGGGAGGTACTTAATGGAGTGTACCGATATTGTTCATTTTCACACCTGGCCTCACATTTATGCAAATCTTAGGATTTCCATAGCATTTTTGCAAGACCTCTCACCTCTAGTTGACCAATATATTTTTGAACGACTCTGTTTATAAAAAGTACTTAGATAGCAGGACCTATTGAACCGTCAACAAATTTCCACCTCGAATTTTCGATCCACCATCGCTGAAAAATGTTTCAATTTCCCTCCATCTCCCCTCGGGAATTCAGTTGAAGTATCGGTGTGTTGTGATTGTAACTGCTGTGGAATGTAAATTACAATGTTCGAGCTACGATGTAAAGTGAAGCCGAATGGAGATTGGAATTGAAGTTGATGTTGTTGTTGTTGTAGTTGTTATTGGTTTTGTTTGTTGTTCAGTGCTTCAGCGTTTTTGATCGATGGTGGATGTTTGACAAATAGACGGATAAATGTAATATTTGGTACCTATCAGCAGAATCATCAACATCGTCATTTGATACTCACACACATACATACGAGCACACATACATACCCCACACCACCGTGCAATATTGATTTATTTGTAGCTCAGGTGCCAATCTGTTCAGCGATTTTTTGGTTTGGTGATTATTGAATTTCCATTAATGTGTGTTAACTTAGCTTCGTTGGCAATTTGTCCGCTGCGGCAGAAGTAACAGCAGCGTGATGTATTTTGTAGTTGTTGTAATGTGGCAAATGGTTTCGGTTTGCTTTGCAATTGAATTTATTAAAACTGATTTTTCCTCTACTTTCAAGTTACCGAAATATTTTTATGAAAATAATATTTCTATGTATAATATTTGTTTTTTTTTTTTTATTTTGGAATTATATTCGGCTTGCTTTGATATGCAATTTCGACAATGCTAATTTCAGGTGAAGTAACAATTTGGCAATCACAGCTTAGGTGGTAATTTATCAAAATTCGAAAAACTAACAGCGGTCTTTTATTTTGAGTTTTTTGCGTACATTTTGAAAATGATATTAATTTGAATGTGTTACATAATTATTTACAATTTTGGAATATGAAATACCTTTCTAAAATTTCATTGGATGAGGGATCGAAAAAAAAAGTCAAATTGTTTAGAGTAGAATTCATTTTTATGGTAGCTACATATTTCTCAGCCACTCGTCCGACAGCTGTTAAAATTATTCCACTGACAGCTCATTATATTGTTTACAAGCGTACAAAAGCATTTTGGTGATTATTTTCCAGTAAAAAAGGTATTCGTGACGGAATTCAAGCGTGATAATGTGATTTCTTTATATTTGGCTGGAAAACCACAAGCGGTTATTGTTAGAGCACTCCACTCGTTTGTGTCTCGCACCATCGTTCGGTACAGTGATACTGGTAGCGTAGCCCGACGTCAGGAAGTGAAAGGAAGAAAACAGCAACATCAGCAGAAATGGTTCGAAGAGTAAAGAAGCGATTTGATCGAAACCTGCGTCGCAGTTGCCGAAAAATGGCTCGTAAGCAGAACACATCGCAATATTCCATTTGGCAAATATTGAAAAAGCTCGAGGTAAAGCCATTGAAATTCCAAAAAGTGCAAGAACTTACACCGCAACAGAAAGAAAATAGGCTCAAAAGAGCTAAAGAGTTGCTTTGCTTGGCCGAAAGTGGTGAACTGCCGAATTTGGTTTTCTCCGTTGAGAAAATACTCTTTGTCCAATAGTTTGTAAACAAACCAAATGATCGTGTTTACTTTCCAAAGAGGTCAGCTGGAAATGTGCACCTTCCGTTGGCAACCATAACTCAAGCGTCGGCTATGGTGATGGTGTGGACCGCCATAACAGCCGATGGTCGCTCTCCGTTCGTATTAATCGTCCGTGGCATCAGAATAAATGCCGAATATTATGGCGAAAGTTTTCTGGAGTGTGCATTAAAGCATTGGTTGGGCAAGCAAACATTTTGGCCGCATACCTTGGACATTCCAACAGAACTCAGCACCATCGCACTCAGCACGCGCCACCCAAGAATGGTTACAAAATGAGGTTCCTCACTTCATTTCCAGCGCACAATGGTCACCATCCCCGGATACCTATCCGTTGGACTATTGTGTTTGGAGTATTTTGGAAAGCAAGGTTGACACTAAAAAATACCAAAGTGTCGATCACCTCAAGCAAGTGCTTCGCCGGAAATGGGCCAAAATACCGCAGAGCAGTATTCGGGCAGCGTGTGACGGTTTCATTGGCCGTTTGAAGGCCATAATTCGTGCCAAAGGAAACCAATTCGAACAAATCTGAACTTACTCTAAAATTTGATGCTATTTCCGACATTTTTTGTTTTCATAAAATATAAAAAAAGTGTAAAATTATGGCATTTGACTTTGTTGCCGTTTTTTATATCACCCTGTATATCTTCAACCGATTTCGGGTTAATTGCGCACTAAGTGTCCAATAGCTGTCCAAATGACACGAATTTTGATATATCGGACCGAATTTAGTCTAGAAGAAAGTACATCAAATATATGTTTCATCCGATTTAATGTTTAAGTCCCTCACATTCGTAATATTTACTCCACAACAATGATATTTGGTACCAGTTATCTTATGGAGCTCGGAAATACCTTTGCCAAATTTTATCGAGATCTACTCATATTTGGATATACCTCTCATATATGTAATCAACGGTTTTTTGGTTAATTGTGCACCAAATAGCCGATATCAGTCCAAATGGTCTGAATTGTGGCAAATCCGACCCAAACAAGTCTAGAAGCAATTACATGAAATTTAGTGAAAATTACATTCGTAATATAGGGTAAGTGTACCAGTAGTCGGCACTTTTAGGATTTTCGCGTTTTTAATCGCTCACCATTCTGGGTGGAACTTTTCAATTATTACAAAGTTAATTAATTCACATTTGAAATTTTGTATAGTTTTTGCAGTAATAAATAAAGTTTTAATTACTTTTTATTAAATTTCGTAAATTTGTAGTTTTATAAAAACAATGTTTTTTTGCCAGTAGTCGGCACCACTTGCCAATTGGCGGCATGGCATGTTCCAACAGTCGGCATACCAACTTTTTTGTAAGAATAATTAATAATAATAATAAATTAATTCATTAAAATATAATATTTTTGTTTAGTTAAACTTATTCGACGTCTTTATTGTAATTTTTTTAAAGAATATGGATTGTTGAGAACCTTAACAGACAAAAATTTAATTTTTATTAGAATAAATCATCTTTTCTTAGCGAAATTGTACACAAAGATAGCTGACAATATATTTGAAGTAAACAAAATACATTTAGTTATAATAGTTTAATTTATCTGGGCTTAAAAATAGAAAGTGCCGACTACTGGGACATGCCGAACTTAGGCACACTTACCCTACACTTGACAAAAACGGTACAAGATATCAGATACAGCCCAGAAATACCTCTGCAAAATTTTATCAAGATCGGTTCAGAATTGGATATAGCTCCCATATATATATCCTTAATCCGATTTCGGTTTAATTGCGCACCAAATGGCCCATATCAGTCCAAATGACCTGAATCTTAGCACATCCGACCAAATTCAGTCTAGAAGCAAGTGCATCAAAATCGGTTCAGATATAGCTATAGCTCTCATATATATGATTCATCCGATGTTTAAGTCCCTCACATTCGATATATACACCCCACAATAATGATATTTGGTACTAGATATCTCATATATAGAACTCGGAAATACCTTTGCCAAATTTTACCGAGATCGACTTAGATTTGGATATAGCTCCTATATATGTCGTCAATTCGATTTCAGGTTTATTGTGCAAATAATGGCTGACATACGTTTCCATTTAGTGAAACTCGGCTTCAATATACATACTTTTAATATTATCCTTCTCTCTGCACTCAATAGCATATTATTTGGTATAAAAGCTAAAAAATGTATTTGTAAAGTTTGGTGAAAATTGATTCAGAATTTGTTGTTGCTATTACTATTACTATTGTTGTTGTTGCTGCTGCTGCTCTACAAGAAATTGTCAGATGCTATGAAATCTTAATTTATAACACCTTTCTAAAGATATTAACATCAAATCAGCTACACTTACATTAGGCATTACATTTCATTAATGCACTCTGCTCCACACATGCCCAAGGCAACGGAACCTGCTATGTGTATGTGTGGGTGTGCGTGCGTGAGTGTGTGTGTGTAATCCAAGGATACTCATAGATTGTGTTTACTAATAGATGATAATAATAATGCGATTATTTATTAGTATAGCATGTCCTGTTTCTTCCTGTATTACACACCCGCACACTCACACATCCACTAATACACCCTTGAAGAATTTTAGCCATGTCTCAAGTTCCTTTTAATGGACTCTAACCAAGCATTTATGCTGTATTCTTCTCTCTAAGCACACCTACACACATTAGTTCTACACCCACATTTGGGTAGCGAAAGCATCGAATGTGTGTGGGTGTGTATGTGTGCCTGTGTGTTAGTTTGACTGTCAGTTATGTCTCAAAGTAAAACTATTCGTCGAGATTAAATTACACTCAAGGTGTTTTTAGTTGGCAAATCAAATAGCATAGTTTCAGGATAATGTTGCTTCTTAACGTTAACTATCAATGTGTATGTGTGTGTGGGGGGAGATGAGTGGCAGGATGTGAGGAAGGAACATACACACACACACACACCCATCAACATTAATTATTCATGCGAATTTCTAAATTCTGCAAATAAAGACAAATATTCATTCTTACAATTAATGAGATTTAGTTTTAGCAACAGAACGAGGACGACAACTTCAAAGGTATGAATAGAGACAGAGAGAGAGGAGGATTTCTCCTTAGCTGGGTGCGGATAATCAGGGTCTTTTGCAGGATATAATGTGTGCAAATTTAATTTTTCATTTAAAGTGTTTCATAATAGATTAAAGACATTTTAAGGAGTCTGTAGAGCAATTAGTGCCTTGTAAAAGTAAAAACAGTAAATTTTAGTGACAGTCTTAATTTAAAATCACTTAGTTACATTGCCGACTAAGGTCCTCGCCCTCGTTGTTTTTAAATTTCTGATTGTTTTTAGCTTTTTTAAATCCCCACAGATTTTGGTAGACATTTTTGTTTTTACCAAACCCAAAATTGACCAGACGTTAAAAAGTAATCCTCTTAACGAATTTTATTTCGGTGATTCAATAAATGTGTTTTCATTTTGTGAAGGTCCTTTTTTCGGTTAACTGTTTTGGTGGGATGACAAATTTTTCACAGAGAAAAACACATTCCATCAAAAATCGTGGCCACCGAGTTTACTCACTGATGTGACGGGTTTTTAATGTCGGAGATGAAAAAAGGATTTTATTGATTTTTTTTCAAAGAAACAAAAAATGACGAAAACAGTGCTGGCAATACTTTAAAAAAAAATTGTGTAATCGTCAATTGTTTAATTTTTTTTCGAATCCTCTCCTGATTTTGTCAAAGGACTCTCAACTATCATCAATGGTTTTCATATCCTACAATAGTATGTGTTGGTGGTAGTATAAGATTGATTAGGCCAATAGGTTTGTAAACGACGAAAATTGGTCCTAAACCCACTATGTGGTATAAAGATCTTCCTTTCCCGCCGAGCTGAATCGGTCTATCCATGTTAATTTGTAATCACGGTACAGGTCGCATTTATGGCTCGTTCCTCACGAAATGTGGCATGGACGTGTGGTTAGGGTCAAGATAGAAGCCAATTGTTTTTGGAGATGAAAAGCAAAGTATTCAGAGGTTGGTATGGACCAACAACAGAAAGATTCCCTGATTAAATCGACGATATTCTCCAAGGGAAAAG